TTCTGACATTTATTGGTTGTCAACAGATCACAAGCACGTGTAACAAGCGAGCATAAATCTGCATAACCTCCTCCATATTACTGCTGCATCTCAAGTCAACACAGACCACGTGACCCTCAAACCGCGGTATGGGCGGTCACGTCCGTCTCACATTGACCCAGTTATTTATGACGTGTCCACTTTGTTCTCCTATTGTGTTTGTGTGGACTTTGTACAACTCACCTCCGTATTCAGGCATAACCTGGACTGTAACCCTGCACAGTCTAACTGAGTTAATACCTCTGTGTGGATTACCTGGTTTTGCAGGTGTGTGCAGGACAGGTGTGGCTACCCGGCCGCGACAGGTAATCTAGGTCATCTGGCTGACCGATCCCGTAGCATTTCTCGGGTCTGAAAGCTGTCAAGGGACTTTCAAGCACAGACTTGTGCACAGCAGTCAGCCTCTTATCATATGACAAAACAAAGCCATCGACTCTGCATCATATACTCTCCAGCAAAGAAACGTGTATATTTACGAATGTAATCTGCTAACTTAAGAGTGAGATAACACATGTATTTTTGGATCTGTTGCAGCCAAATTTCACAATATAAAAGCTCAAATATAAAATGTATAAAAGGTTCAGTAAGTGAAGGAGTCCGTTCCCATTTGGGCGTTGTCTTCAATACCTGTTGTGGCCATCATAAACCCCAAAACCTGCTCCGCACTGTCTCGGCATGGGCTGGAATTGAATTCTGGCCCATTCCTCTTGCAATGCCTGCGACAGTTGATCTGACGTCTGGGGTGACGGTTGACGTTCATGTAGGCGTCGGTCGAGATCATCCAACAAATGCTCGATGGGGTTGAGGTCGGGCGCTTTGGAAGGCCATGGAAACACTGTAATGTTCTCATTCTGAAGATACGGAGTAGTGGCAAGTGCTGTGTGGGGCCTGGAGTTATCTTGCTGGAACAACTCCCCTCTCTGTACCGAATAGCAGTTTAATTTCCCTGAAGGAGCACAAAGTTAGTTTTCTGCGTGTAGGATATGGCACCCCACATTACGACGCTGTCACCACCATATCGGTCAACCTGGGCGACACAATTCTGGGCAAAACCCATTTCGACGTGGATAGACACGTACTCTTCTGTCACGGCACTGAAGCAGAAAGCGTGATTCGTCACTGTACCATACACGTCGCCAGTTTTGTAGATTGCAGAATCGAACGTTACTGCGCCACTTGACCCGTTGACGTCGATGTAGTCGTCGTCGCACAGGTCCAACATAGGGTCTTCTGGCTCGAAGTCCAGCTTCACGTAAACGATTACGAATGGTTTGCGCCAACTTTGTCCTGCACTTGCAGTTGCTGTGACAGTTCGATTCTGCAAATGAAGCACCCGGATGTACCTATGCTGCTAAACTGGTAATCCGAGGCCGATCTTGCGTAGATTTAGTTTCTTGACATCGGCCCCATAAACGACTGAAGGTAGTCTGGTGAACAGTGAGGTGACGTGCGACTGCAGATTGAGACTCCCCAGCCTCCAGACATCCAACGGCAATGTTTCGATGTACAGCAGTGAGTTGCGGCATAACGATATTCCTTCATTTAGCTACGAAATGCCAATGACCGTCTGAACGCAAAACGGCCTTATATAGGTAATTCCCTGCTCACGATTCCTCAGACCTGCACGCGAACCACGTGTTTGTCCATAACAAGTTGACACTTTCGAAAGTAAACGTGCATCAAAGTTTCCGAAGATGCCTTTTTGCGCTGTGCATTCGTTCCATATACTAGTGCACAAAACAGCATTATGTTGGCGAAATTAAAAAAATAAAACACTAATTTTGAAAAATATTTGACATTTCTTCTGTCAGTATGTAGGGCGGTGGGGTAGCCTAGTGGTTAAAGCGTTGGCTCGTCACGCCGAAGACCCGGGTTCAAATCCCCACATGGGTACAATGTGTGAAGCCCATTTCTGGTGTCCCCCGCCGTGATGTTGCTGGAATATTGCAAAAAGGGGCGTGAATGCAAAACTCAGTCAGTCAGTCAGTCTTCAATCTGTCCTATGCGGTTTTTTGGGGGTTCACATCAGTCGGTCTAATAGCATATGTAAAGCATACAACGATCGGTCTTCCATCATTTGTAATGCACACAACAGCACTAGATGGCCTCTCAGATGTAAAGATTAAAACAGTCGACCTCACGGAGCAGTCGACCTCACGGAGTCTTCCATCATTTGTAATGCACACAACAGCACTGGATGGCCTCTCAGATGTAAAGATTAAAACAGTCGACCTCACGGAGTCTTCCATCATTTGTAAAGTACAGACCCTGTACACCTAGCAATGCCTTTCCAGCTATTACCGTGATTATGCACATATACTAGCCATAAAAAGAAACGGTGTACATGGTATAAAGGGTGTGATGGGTGACATGGTGTGATGGGTGACATGGTGTGATGTACGTGGTATAAAGGGTGTGGGGGATGGCATGGTATAAAGGGTGTGAAGGTGACATGGTATAAAGGGTGTGATGGATGACATGGTATAAAGGGTGTGATGGGTGACATGGTATAAAGGGTGTGATGGATGGCACGGTATAAAGGGTGTGATGGTGACATGGTATAAAGGGCGTGATGGATAGCATGGTATAAAGGGTGTGATGGGTGACATGGTATAAAGGGCGTGATGGATAGCATGGTATAAAGGGTGTGATGGGTGACATGGTGTGATGTACGTGGTATATAGGGTGTGATGGGTGACACGGTGTGATGTACACGGTATAAAGGGTGTGATGGATGGCATGGTGTGAAGTACATGGTATAAAGTGTGTGATGAGCGACACGGTGTGATGTACATGGTATAAAGGGTGTGGTGGATGACATGGTTTAAAGGGTGTGATGGGTGACATGGTATAAAGGGCGTGATGGATGGCATGGTATAAAGGGTGTGATGGGTGACATGGTGTGATGTACATGGTATAAAGGGTGTGATGAGCGACACGGTGTGATGTACATGGTATAAAGGGTGTGGTGGATGACATGGTTTAAAGGGTGTGATGGGTGACATGGTATAAAGGGCGTGATGGATGGCATGGTATAAAGGGTGTGATGGGTGACATGGTGTGATGTACATGGTATAAAGGGTGTGATGAGCGACACGGTGTGATGTACATGGTATAAAGGGTGTGGTGGATGACATGGTTTAAAGGGTGTGATGGGTGACATGGTATAAAGGGTGTGATGGGTGACATGGTGTGGTGTACATGGTATAAAGGGTGTGATGAGCGACACGGTGTGATGTACATGGTATAAAGGGTGTGGTGGATGACATGGTTTAAAGGGTGTGATGGGTGACATGGTATAAAGGGTGTGATGGGTGACATGGTATAAAGGGTGTGATGAGCGACATGGTGTGGTGTACATGGTATAAAGGGTGTGATGGGTGACATGGTATATAGGGTGTGATGAGCGACATGGTGTGGTGTACATGGTATAAAGGGTGCGTTTCTCCACACTCATTTCAATATTCCAGTTAAGGCACGCGGATCACCAGGTATGATGTTCGGGTTGTACCCACAGGGAAATCGAACTGATCGCAGAATAAACGTCAGAAAAGCAGCGTTATAACGAGGTGATACAGCTGCTCACCGTAACCGATCTCCTTATTCTGTAAAGTATACAGTACACTTGTCACACAATGCCCTGCGTGTTACATGGATACGTCTGTAATCTACATGTAGTAACAAGTGATCAAACGCAAGGTGAGGCTCATGTTGCGTGTAAAGTGAAGGTGTAAGATGTAGTTTGAATGACCTTCACTCTCTTGTTGCAACACAGCGGTGTGCCACCGCATACGAACCAGAATATAATAGACGGGCGGTCAGGGAATACGTGCAGGAACCAAGGACTGGGACCGCGCTGTGCGGCGACGTGTTGCAGTCAAGTTGTAAAACCAGTCACTGCGTAAAATGTAACTCACTGACGCAAGTTACAGCAGGCAAAAACATCTTTTGAGGGTTTACAACATGACCCAAAATCTGTCCTTTTATATGACAGACAGGCTACTAATTATTTATAAGTTCAAATGGCCTGTAATATCACAATAGACTATTGTATATTGGAATGAAAGAAAACAACACCCCCCAAAAAACCCAAAACAAACAATACAAACCCCACCCCCCAAAAAAAACTCCCCAAAACAAACAAAAAACAATAACAACAAAACCCAAACAAACAAAAAAAATAATAGAAATTATACGTCAAAATGTCTGCAATTACTTATCATAACGAAACAAAAGGACAGCATCTCAGTGAGCTTGTGAAATAACTAAATATTTATGGGTTTCTGGAAATTCAGCCAGTTAACACATTGACTGAAAAATAAGTACATGTAGATACTCTTCAAGTTGCATGTGATCAGTTAGTTATTTTGGATGCAAGGTTTTACGAGTATGTTTTATCTCCTCAACACAATACACGTGCCACTATAAAACCTTCCAGTACATTGATTTATATTCTTTAAAACCACTGGCCGCTGTGATCTGTTTTGTTCTGCTGCAAGGTCCCCGACAGTCGATCCTAGCTACCTGTACACTCGTCTACACGTCCCGGTCGACCAATGGTCACCATGTCGTATTATACACAGGTGACAGTGCGTGCTACCTCAACTTGAATTGTCCAGCTTGTATATAATCATTTAGTGAAACGTGTTAAAAACAACTCAAACAACCTATCGATATTCTTTGTTAGTATGTATCAACAGGGAGAATAGAACACAGCTGTAGATTATCCCTGGTATCAATGCATATGTTAGTTTGGATAAATTATAATAAAATCTATCAATTTAGTGCTGAAATAAAATGTTCAAAACATGTATTTGACTACATGAAGATGGGCTGAAAACAGTTCAGCGTTTATTGACATAAGCACAAAAAGAGATTCACCCGTATCACGGAATTATTCTAAATAAGTCGTCATTCTGTTAGTCAGTCGTTGCGCAGTTGCGGCGTGGAACCAGTTGCTGGGGAACTAGTATACGCACACATTAATGGCGACTGGCATGCCTGTGGACAGCGACGCTTGGTCCCTGGAGTGATTGCCGAGATCCATTGCAGTAACGAGAAACACACTCACCATATTCATTTCTCATATTTGCGTTTTTGATTACACTCGTTGACACGGACTGAAAATGGCGTTTAGCTCAGTGTACACCTGTGCTTACCTGTTGGTGATAGGAATGTCGGCTCTCATCGGTTCATCTGCTGGCGCGGTGGTGTGTCCGTGTAAGACGAAGGATGGGTGTGTTCGTCCAAACCGTATGAAGTCTACAGATAAAGAGGTACTGGTATCTCGATTCTGCAATTCAGTCGTGGTGATAGGGTGTCTCTGATTATTGCCAATCCGTAATACAAAACGCGGAAGTGGAGTCAACCCTAGACTTGCCCCGGCTCTTAACAATATACACTTGCGCGATGAAATATTCCTAAGCTGTAACGAAATTTGGTGCCCTGTCTTATTTTTGACATTAGTACAACCAGATTTAGTTTTTTTTAATGTTTGTGCGTTTTATTCATTGGTATTTATGATAAAATGTTTGAGAAAACTTGGTGTCTAATGACGTGATCGCATTTTCATAAATGTGACCTCCATTTCGGTATGAATCTATGAAGATTACAATGTTTGATTTCTGTCCTAAAGTATGAATCTACAAGATGATGCAGCTGCACTAGTTATAAGCACATACAAGTGTTGAGTCACCAGCCTCTGTTTCTACTTTTAAACTTTGCACGTGACCATGATGACAGTTGCAATGGGTGTAAAATGAAATGGGTAGAAACTATTATTGAATAAATGAAAATAAACAATAATACTTTTCAGTCCACAAAATAATCAATGAATAACTTATGTGAGAAATATGCTTTTTATTTCAAACACTTTGTTACATGCTTCATTTAGGCTAGCAAGAAGGAAAATAGTTATCTAAAAAATGAGTGATGATGACTCCCAGTTTTGATGTCAGACAAGACTCCCTCTTGGTGTGGTTTACACTTATACATAACAGTGATGTTGATGGATATATTGGATTATGCAGTCCTTGACATTGTTTATGTCTGTAAAACCTTTGCAATCAGTTTCCTAGAACAATGTGGAACCTGTTCATCATGATATCATACCTGAAGTTTGATATTACTCACGCCAGGGTTTACCAGGTGATTGTGAAGGATTGAGATGTTGATATTAATCATGGCAGGGTTTACCGGGTGATTGTGAAGGATTGAGATGCCAGGGTTTGCCAGGTGATTGTGAAGGATTGAGATGCCAGGGTTTACCAGGTGATTGTGAAGGATTGGGATATTGATGTTATTCATGGCAGGGTTTACCAGTCGATTGTGAAGGATTGCGATATTGCTATTAACCATGCCAGGGTTTACCAGGTGATTGTGAAGGATTGAGATGCCAGGGTTTACCAGGTGATTGTGAAGGATTGGGATATTGATGTTATTCATGGCAGGGTTTACCAGGCGATTGTGAAGGATTGCGATATTGCTATTAACCATGCCAGGGTTTACCAGGTGATTGTGAAGGATTGAGATGCCAGGGTTTACCAGATGATTGTGAAGGATTGAGATGCCAGGGTTTACCGGGTGATTGTGAAGGATTGAGATGCCAGGGTTTACCAGATGATTGTTAAGGATTGAGATGCCAGGGTTTACCAGATGATTGTAAAGGATTGAGATGTCAGGGTTTACCAGGTGAATGTGAAGGATTGAGATGCCAGGGTTTACCAGGTGATTGTGAAGAGTGAAATGCCAGGGTTTACCAGGTGATTGTGAAGGATTGAGATGCCAGGGTTTACCAGGTGATTGTGAAGGATTGAGATGCCAGGGTTTACTAGGTGATTGTGAAGGATTGAGATGCCAGGGTTTACCGGGTGATTGTGAAGGATTGCGATGGCAGGGTTTACCAGGTGATTGTGAAGGATTGAGATGCCAGGGTTTACCAGGTGATTGTGCAGGATTGAGATGTCAGGGTTTAGCAGGTGATTGTGAAGATTGAGATGCCAGGGATTACCAGGTGATTGTGAACGATTGAGATGCCAGGGTGTAGCAGGTGATTAGAAGGATTGAGATGCCAGGGTTTACCAGGTGACATTTGTCCCTTTTGGTGGTTTGCTGTGCCTGATGTATAATTTCTATGCTGATTGAAAATAATCTCCGATGTAGAAACAAGATCCAAAGGCTATCCCCCATAGACTGACTGACTGACTGAGTTTGGTTTTACGCCGCTTTTAGCAATATTCCAGCAATATCACGGCAGGGGACACCAGAAATGGGCTTCACGCATTGTACCCATGTGGGGATTCGAACCCGGGTCTTCAGCGTGATGAGCCAACGCTTTAACCACTAGACTACCCCACCGCCCCTTTATCCCCCATAGACATGATAGATAGGTAAATCATGCACTTATTCATTCACTGCCTTTACTTTATTGAGTCACCCCTTAAAAAGTTAGCCATTTGCCTAAAAATAATAGTGTTTTTTTTTCTTTGACTTTAAATTTGACAGAGTGATATAATGTTAAGAAACAGAATGCTGTGTGGTGCTGTACTCACAAAAGTCAGATGACAATTATTATATGAATTATAAGCAGGGCTCCAGATAATTTTTCAACATCAGGAGTACGTACTCTTTATTTTTTCAATATAGGACTACTGGAAAAACTTAAAGGTCACATGCAACGTAAAACACAACTTTGCAGATTCTGATACCTTTCGGTATGGACTTACCGAAACAAATCGTCAAAAATGCAAATTCAACTTATAAAGTTGAAAAATAACGCGATGAAAAAAAACGCGCGAAATCGGAGTTCAAACGTTTCACTAAATTTCCCCAGACTTTTCTGGGGAAAACGGGTTTCTACAGCTGGGCTGCGCTCATAGCATGTGCGCAGTGAAATAGGTTCGCGCAGCTTGGAAGCGGGTTGTCCGGTGAATACTTTCGGTGAAGGCTTTGGTGTGAGCTATTTTTCTAATGTTTTGTTGATATCTCATAGGTGAGCTTTTATATGTTATGACAGTAAATTAACTGTTTATATAATTTCATTTGTCTATTTCACCACACGGTCTTCTTACCGAGTCACTTTCTCAGTTCGATACTTAAAAGCAATGTCATTATTTAGCGTTGACAGAATTTCTAACTGTGATATAGATATGATTTTCCTTTTCCTGATCCTCATGCTCTTTTGCTTGTCTTCTTCTTCTTGCTAACATAGTGGAACACTTGTATCTCCCTAATTGAAGCTCCCTTCAATTTAAAATCACTAATTAGTATTCACCACGAAGTTACCTCCTTTCCACAAGCTGAACGAGGGTTTCACCTCTACCCATGTGCCTCACTCTCTCCTTCTTCCAGTGAGCTGGACGTGAGAGCTTCTGTGTCTCCCGACACACTATATCCTTTGATTTATATTTAGTTAGTTACCCTCGTGATAGACATCTATAGAGGTTTAGCTAGTATCCTTCAACGATTATATATTGATATTTAGTCGCTTTTTCTACAGTTTATTCAATGGACTGCGGTTTGTTTCAGTGGATTACGCTTGATGAAAATTCTGTACTATTGCAGATTACGCTTTTTATGCTGCTGCTGATCCGCCTTTAATATGATGTACGGCCATGTTTATTATATTCACACTGCAGTTGGGCGGTACTAATTTATCCAATTCTACCTTTTATTAATATTTACTTTGCGCTTGGCACGCACAGCAGATAGGTCGCGTGATGCAGAGTCTAGTATGACTGATACACGGAACCCTCGCCAGTCTACTGCTGTTGGCCGACTCTCCCCGTGTGGTGTTCCGCTAGAGTGGTGGAGAGGTGTGGGACGAGTCCGCCATCTCCAAGAAGCATCCTGCTTCCCCAGACATCCCATCGCCGCAGCAGAAGACTAGAGGGTTTTTCTACTACATCTCAACAACCGAGACCGCTCCCATCGAAGTTTTGGGCCTGTATGATGATCAGCCGGTCATCATACCGGGTTGTACATCAAAGATTGACCGATGTCGCACAGATCAGCATGCAGCCTGATGTACCAACGCAGATATGCGATGATCGCCCTGAGGGTCCCATCATTACCAACACTCAACGCAGACGCCGCGACACCCAGGGCAGCGCCGACCTCTGAGGGAAAATCAACTAAGTCTACTAGGACTTTCAACCGAGATTGTTCCAACCGATGACCTGGACCTCTACGATGATCAGTTGATCATCATCCCCGACGACGCCACAAGAAACGACCGGTGACAGCTACAACGACATCAGCAGAGATCACCATGCAGCCTGATGCCTCTACACTGATGTCGGACGATTTTCCGTGGACCCTCCATTAACACCGCAGATAAAGCACCGACGCACTTCGCCGCAGACCATCCCAGAAGACATGATGCGACAAATTATGAACATCATGGAGGACCAATATCTGCGCGTAGCAGGGTCCGAAGTTTCGCGAAGGCTCCAACGTAGACAGCACCCCAGAGGCACCCCCGCCAACGTAGCAGCCAGGACGATGTCACCTTCGCAAGGAAGTCACGGACCACCTTGACGAAGGACCTAGATGTACAGCTTCGCGAAGGCCTTCGCTAAGGCGGAAAGGACCTAGATGTACAGCCTTCGCTGGAAGGCGAAAGAACCTAGATGTACAGCCTTCGCGAAGGACTTCGCTAAGGCAGGATAGATCATCACCTTGGCGCGGTTTCATCCCTAGATGTGGACTCGACCATCAGACATCACGGAAGCCTTCGCGAAGGTCATATCGTCGCTCTCCGACCGACGCAGAGGAAGCTTCGCTAAGGCATGCGCGAAGGACACCTGAATCCAGATCATCATCATCTAGAAGGACATCGAGGGACTATACAAGAGCTTCATAAACTATCAACGCTCCCTCACAAGTCTCCCAGAAGATCAACCCATAGACAAGTTGATCATCGATATCAAGTATAAGAACTACAATCGTGATATTGGTTCTGTTGAATCCATGACGAGACGTATGTTCGCTGGCCTAAATAGATCTAGAACGATCAATTAGACACTTATCACCAGACTTCAGAACACGACTTCTGAATATGATAAGATGATCCATGCCCTATTTTAGGCAAGCGCCGCCGATCCCACATCCTGTTAAACACAGAGGCTGTTCACGAAGCAAGCGCCATATATATATATATATATATATATATATATACTAATCGGCTTTGATTCGACACCTTCAGCGATGGTCGCTAAGGCTAAGTGGCTCCAAGTCTACTTCACCCAGAAGATCTAGAAGGGATACTTCGAGAACTTCGCTAAGTCTCCGGGCGCTCACCGAGGAAGTCTCCTCCAAGGTTTCCATATACCAGCCACTCGCCATATATAGCTACCGTCAGTCCGTTTCAAGACGCCGCATAAGTTGATTATCAACTGTATGCCAGATGCCGCCTATAAGCCTACGCGAAGATAATTGCTTAGGCTATTTACAACACAGAACGCCGCTGTATTATTAGTCAACGACATTTCATAGATCTTCACAGAAATCAACTATTCCGTGATAAATTGCTAATATACAACTCGACGACGACGATATACGACATTATCTACATGCGACCATTACGCATATCTGCAGACAATTCAATATCGAAATTGAACAGCAGCCTTGTTACAGCGCAGTATAACTCTTAATCACAAAGTTTCTGAGAAGAAATATGTACAACAAGTTCAACGTTAATTCTACAATTATGACGCATACATTCATGTATACAGTCTACAAGCTCACAACTTGCAAGTTGTTTATACCCTTATATATAAGGAAGTCGGAATTATATTCAAAACTGAAATTATTTTCACGACAACCAGGAAAATAACCTACCCAGCATAAAATTACAGAGCTGAGATATTTCATCATACGGAGGTTTCAAGGCATGTTACCATTAACCCTCAAACACGTGGTCACCGGATAACTTCGAAGCTACGGTGAAGACCGACGCTTATGCTAATATCAACGCATTTTACAAGAATTTATTCAAGGTGGGTTTTTTCCCCGCTACACCGGGTGACATCACAGCTGGTATTTATACAGAATCAAAATGCCTTGTTCTGATTGGACCGCGAGGGACAACGACTCTACACAGAGGTCGATCTCTGTTCACAGTTCAAGACTTACGCCACAAGTGACAACTATATATCAGTGAACGAAAGCAAGCCTCATTACAGTCCAGTTAACCTGAACATTCATGATTAGACTGCCTTTCTTCAGTTAGAGACCTCCCCTGTCAAGTTAAGACGAGGGATCGGCAGTCAGGCGATTTTACATAAAGTTCAACGAGGACAGACACACCTGGTTGTGCACCTACATCGCCAAGGACTTCTCAGAGCTTAATTACCTAGACGAAAGATACAAGTGGATCTAAATCCACAGCTTCAGACTACAGCTGAATTTCATCAAGTTTAATTAACACAACTAGATGGTTAGTAAACCTACTAAACTTCTGTTTGGAGAATAAAACGGAAATTTCACGCCCAACCTGGGGATATGAATATAGTGCTCCAACACCTCACAAGTGAGGTTTATGAACACTGGATGACATACTTGGACCCCATGATACGATGATTCTATCAAGATGGCCAGCAAGAGCACTGTAAATTTATCTCCACCAAACCAAACAGGAGGAAAAATGCAACAGATTATTTCCTCTATCATCAACTTACGCAGAGTGAAGTCTCATGTACTATATCTCCATTTGGATCAGAACTGTCATACTACGTGCATATGCGGATGGACCTATTCCGACCCTCCATGAGCTTAATACTCATGATATTATAGCTTAACTTCTAGAATTGTTCTACACAAATGTGATTGAAATAATGGAGGGTTTATTTCTGAAATCCGATATGGTGGTTGCAAACCATTATCTGAGAGATATCACCACCGAGGACGCCTCAGGTATACACCATTTCGATCCCATGGTCCTCAGACAACAGCTGACAGTTCTCGGAGAAGATAAGTCAATCTAACAGATTTTTACTTATCTTATAACAATACTAAATAGCTTCATGCTATATATATAATTTACTTAAGTTCCTTTTATCATCACAGTACTATGATTATTACATCATACAATATATAAGTTAACAACTCTACAGAGTTTGTTATTATATATATTTACCTTAAGTTATTCATATCTTAAGAGTAATACTATGGTTACATGATAAATGCATTAGCTAACAAACTCTACAGAGTTTTTGGCTATTTTATACATAGCTTAAGTTAATTAAACTAACAAACTCTACTTGGAGTTTTACTATTATATAGGTAACTTAAGCTAATTATACCTTAAGCATAGTACTATACTCATATTATTAAAATATATTGGCCAACAAACTCTAAGGAGTTTTGCTATTATATAGGTAGCTTAAGCTTATTCATATCTTAAGCTTAGTACTATGTTTATATCATATAAGTAGATTAGCTAACAAACTCTAAAGAGTTTTTGCTATTTGGCTTAAGTATCATCATATTTCTAAGCAATATGGTTATATTATAACATGTATTAGCTAACAAACTCTACAGAGTTTTAGCTATTATATATGTAACTTAAGCTTATTCATATCTTAAAGTTTAGTACTATGTTTATATCATATAGGTATATTAGCTATCAAAACTCTAAAAGAGGGTTTTGCTATTATATATTTCGCTTAAGTTTCATCATATTTTAAGCTTTATGGTTACATTATAACATGTATTAGCTAACAAACTCTCTACGGAGTTCTTGCTATTATATATGTAGCTTAAGTTTTCCTTCATAAGCTCAATACTAGGTTTATATCATAGCTAACAAACTCTAAAGGGTTGTTTTCGCATTATACAATTAGCTTAAGTTTTCATCATATCTTAAGCAGTATGTTTACATTATAGCAGTATTAGCTAACAAAACTCGACGGAGTTTTGTTATTATATATATATAGCTTAAGTTTCATCATAACTTAAGCTCAGTACTATGTTTTTAACATAAAAGTATATTAGTTAATAAACTCTAAGGAGTTTATTTTGCATATATACATTTAGCTTAAGTCTAATCTTATCTTAAGCTTAGTACTATGGTTACACTATAAACATATTAGCTAATAAACTCTACAGAGTTTTTGGCTATTATATATGTAGCTTAAGTTAATAATATCTTAAGCACAATACTATACTCATATTGTAAAATATGTTAGCTAACAAACTCTAATGGAGTTCTGCTATTATATATGTAGCTTAAGTTCATTATATCTTAAGCACACTACTATACTCATATTGTAAAATATATTAGCTAACAAACTCTAATGGAGTTTTGCTATTATATATGTAGCTTAAGTTAATTATATCTTAAGCACACTACTATACTCATATTGTAAAATATATTAGCTAACAAAACCCTACAGAGTTTTGTTATATATATGTAGCTTAAGTTAATTATATCTTAAGCTCAGTACTATACTAATATTATAATATATATTAGCTAACAAACTCTACAGAGTTTGGCTATTATATATGTAGCTTAAGTTAATTATAGCTTAAGCACAGTACTATACTCATATTATAAAAATATATATTAGCTAACAAACTCTACAGAGTTTGGCTATTATATATGTAGCTTAAGTTAATTATAGCTTAAGCACAGTACTATACTCATATTATAAAAATATATTAGCTAACAAACTCTACAGAGTTTTTGCTATTATATATATAGCTAAAGCTTATTCATATCTTAAGCTCAGCATTATATCTATATCATATAAGTATATTAACTAACAAACTCTAAAGAGTTTGCTATTATATAATTAGCTTAAGTTTAATCATATCTTAAGCTTAGTACTATGTTATATCTTAAAGTATTTTAGCTAACAAACTCTAAGGAGTTTATACTAAGATATTAACAAGCTTAAGTCTATTAGTCTTAAGCATTGTATTAATGTTATATATACTTTATCATAATAAGTACATGGTAATAACCTTTATATGGCAGCTGATAAGTTAGCAGCAGGAATTCATCAGTTCAGTGCCTTTATGAAGTTCCCATAGGGTTATTACAATCATCACAGTTCAAATCACTAATTATTAAAAATCCAAAGTATTAGTATTCCCACCTCCGTTCCGAGGATGCTACAAGCAAAAGAGATGAGTCAGGATAAGGAAAAATATGTAATTTTGGAGTAAAATTGATATTTTATACTTATCCTGACTCATGAGGTCAGCCCTCCCATCCTCCCCAAATAACACTTTGGATTTCCCTGTAAATTCAAATGTTGGGCTCAGTATATGAGGAGAGAGTGAGGCACATGGGTAGAGGTGGCGCGCCCTCGTTCCCGCGCTTGTGGAAAGGAGGTAACTCGTGGTGAATACTAATTAGTGATTTTAAATTGAAGGGAGCTTCAATTAGGGAGATACAAGTGTTCCACTATGTTCGCAAGAAGAAGAAGACAAGCAAAAAGAGCATGAGTCAGGATAAGTATAAAATATCAATTTTACTCCAAAAATTACATTTTTTATTATGTTTGATTTTTTGGTTGCATGTGACCTTTAAGAGAACATTTAGAGTACTGAATGGAAATTAGTAATCAGTATTCTTGTGTTTCATTTGGTATATGCACCACAACATTGCTACTCTTGTGTCAACAGGTCAGTAAACAATAAAACAAAACTTTTTCATATAAATACGTCTGTAAGTGATTTGAACACCATTGCTGTGGTGCATATCTGCTACATTTTCAATTTATTTCCTATCGTATCATGCATATTTTCGTACATACGTGGATACGGCCCTTATCTGGAGCCCTGTATAAGAACCAAACCAAAGACTGATATGGCATACAGATTGATCATGGCTTGAGGACATCTGTTTCAAGTCAGCTGTAATACGATAATAACCCAGACCAGAGCTGTGACACTGTTTACAGTTTCGAGGTATTTGTTGAGACAAATGTCGTCAGTTTAAGTCTATGATATCATCCAGTCCATAGCAATGACACTGGTTATTGTTCACAGGTATTTGTTGTGACAAACGGAACTGCAGACTACAAGACCTGGGAATGGGGATCCCTGACATCGGTCATCGCCACCGAGGACAATGTCAAGACTGATGTCATGTGCTTTGCTCACCAGATGCATAAGAAATATGGCTTCATGGGTAAATATTACAGGATCATGGATGTGGGGAAGATCGGGAGACATTCTCCTTTGGTTCTTTATAAAGTAAATCCCATGCTAAACAGTGTTTCCCCATTAAACATGTAAAGGATCTCATGTTGGATAGATTTGTGGTGTATTTCATTGATACGCTTGTCTTGAAAATATCAGTTGTATAACCAGTGATAACCTATAACTGAACAGCATGTTTCTGTACGGCGGAGTGAGGTCTGGTGGTTTGGCTAAGTGGGGTTGTTTGTTGAGGTGGTAAAGTCTGGTTGTCTGGATGGGTAAGTTGTTGTCTGATGGGATGGGTAAGTTGTTGTCTGACGGGATGGGTAAGTTGTTGTCTGTTGGGATGGGTAAGTTGTTGTCTGATGGGATGGGTAAGTTGTTGTCTGACGGGATGGGTAAGTTGTTGTCTGATGGGATGGGTAAGTTGTTGTCTGATGGGATGGGTAAGTTGTTGTCTGTTGGGATGGGTAAGTTGTCTGGTTGTCTGTTGGGATGGGTAAGTTGTTGTCTGGTTGTCTGATGGGATGGGTAAGTTGTTGTCTGATGGGATGGGTAAGTTGTTGTCTGATGGGATGGGTAAGTTGTCTGGTTGTCTGTTGGGATGGGTAAGTTGTTGTTGTCTGATGGGATGGGTAAGTTGTTGTCTGATGGGATGGGTGATGGGATGGGTAAGTTGTTGTCTGATGGGATGGGTAAGTTGTTGTCTGATGGGATGGGTAAGTTGTTGTCTGATGGGATGGGTAAGTTGTTGTCTGATGGGATGGGTAAGTTGTTGTCTGACGGGATGGGTAAGTTGTTGTCTGTTGGGATGGGTTGTCTGATGGGATGGGTAAGTTGTTGTCTGATGGGTGGGATTGGTAAGTTGTTGTCTGATGGGATGGGTAAGTTGTTGTCTGACGGGATGGGTAAGTTGTTGTCTGATGGGATGGGTAAGTTGTTGTCTGATGGGATGGGTAAGTTGTTGTCTGTTGGGATGGGTAAGTTGTCTGGTTGTCTGTTGGGATGGGTAAGTTGTTGTCTGGTTGTCTGATGGGATGGGTAAGTTGTTGTCTGATGGGATGGGTAAGTTGTTGTCTGATGGGATGGGTAAGTTGTCTGGTTGTCTGTTGGGATGGGTAAGTTGTTGTCTGATGGGATGGGTAAGTTGTTGTCTGATGGGATGGGTAAGTTGTTGTCTGTTGGGATGGGTAAGTTGTCTGGTTGTCTGTTGGGATGGGTAAGTTGTTGTCTGGTTGTCTGATGGGATGGGTAAGTTGTTGTCTGATGGGATCGGTAAGTTGTTGTCTGATGGGATGGGTAACTTGTTGTCTGATGGGATGGGTAAGTTGTTGTCTGATGGGATGGGTAAGTTGTTGTCTGATGGGATGGGTAAGTTGTTGTCTCTTGGGATGGGTAAGTTGTTGTCTGGTTGTCTGTTGGGATGGGTAAGTTGTTGTCTGTTTTGTCTGTTGGGATGGGTAAGTTGTTGTCTGATGGGATGGGTAAGTTGTTGTCTGATGGGATAGGTAAGTTGTTGTCTGATGGGATGGGTAAGTTGTTGTCTCTTGGGATGGGTAAGTTGTCTGTTTTGTCTGTTGGGATGGGTAAGTTGTTGTCTGATGGGATGGGTAAGTTGTTGTCTGTTGGGATGGGTAAGTTGTTGTCTGTTGGGATGGGTAAGTTGTCTGGTTGTCTGTTGGGATGGGTAAGTTGTTGTCTGGTTGTCTGTTGGGATGGGTAAGTTGTTGTCTGTTGGGATGGGTAAGTTGTTGTCTGTTGGGATGGGTAAGTTGTTGTCTGTTTTGTCTGTTGGGATGGGTAAGTTGTTGTCTGGTTGTCTGTTGGGATGGGTAAGTTGTTGTCTGGTTGTCTGTTGGGATGGGTAAGTTGTTGTCTGGTTGTCTGTTGGGATGGGTAAGTTGTTGTCTGGTTGTCTGTTGGGATGGGTAAGTTTTTTTCTGGTTGTCTGTTGGGATGGGTAAGTTGTTGTCTGTTGGGATGGGTAAGTTGTCTGTTTTGTCTGTTGGGATGGGTAAGTTGTTGTCTGGTTGTCTGTTGGGATGGGTAAGTTGTTGTCTGTTGGGATGGGTAAGTTGTTGTCTGTTTTGTCTGTTGGGATGGGTAAGTTGTTGTTGGGTTGTCTGTTGGGATGGGTAAGTTGTTGTCTGGTTGTCTGTTGGGATGGATAAGTTGTTGTCTGTTTTGTCTGTTGGGATGGGTAAGTTGTTGTCTGTCTGTTGGGATGGATAAGTTGTTGTCTGTTTTGTCTGTTGGGATGGGTAAGTTGTTGTCTGGTTGTCTGTTGGGATGGGTAAGTTGTTGTCTGGTTGTCTGTTGGGATGGGTAAGTTGTCTGTTGGGATGGGTAAGTTGTTGTCTGTTTTGTCTGTTGGGATGGGTAAGTTGTCTGTTGGGATGGGTAAGTTGTTGTCTGTTTTGTCTGTTGGGATGGGTAAGTTGTTGTCTGGTTGTCTGGTGGGATAGGTAAATTGTTGTATGGTTGTGTGGCTCCGTTGGGTAGTCTAGTGGCGTTGCTGAGTTGTGTTGTCTAAATGGGTTATCTGGTGGGTTGTCTAAGTGGGTTTGCTATATGGGGCGAGTAGATTGGTGGAGTACCCTTGTATGTTTGATAGATGGTACAGATAGTTGAGACTAGTGCATGAGGACCCTACTTCACCAACAGCTGTGTTTCAGTCCAGCTGGATTACAAGTCTGCCAACTCCAGCTCCCCTGCTTGGGTCGACCATGTCGTCAGCCGCAGGAACTCCTCCCACGCCGACTTTGTCACAGTCAAACTGATGAATGTCCTCAAAACCAAGGATCCGTCGATAGTGTCGAAGGTGCACTCGATCCTCATGGACCTCAAGAAAGCGCTAACTCCAAAGATACACTATGGACATCCTATAGAGGTGGGTACACTGTCTCTCAAGCAACCTAGGATATCGTGATGTTAAGTGTTGTACTGTCAGTTAGCATTGGAAGCCTGCTTCTACCTTAACATGTGATAGAATGGACTTAAGTTTTATTTTGGTCTAATTTTGTGGTCTTCCGAAGGCATGTGGTTTATCAATGCTGATGTTGTCATTATAGATGGTGTGTGTGGTGCCGTGGAAGCCAGCTTGCTACAGTGGTGACTGCAGCCTCACCCAGGATTCTCTCTATCATTCCTGTGACTGGATCATGATTGATCCCAGCAGCTTTGAGTATCAGCATGAAGGAAGCGGGTGTAAAGCTCGAGCAACTGTGCCCTTCACCATGATCAGTCTAGGTGAGTGCAGGTGCTTGTTGTGGAGGGAGGTCTGTGTTAAGTGTCACTGTGCCCTTCACCATGATCAGCCTAGGTGAGTGCAGGTGCTTGTTGTGGAGGGAGGTTTGTGTTAAGTGTCACTGTGCCCTTCACCATGATCAGTCTAGGTGAGTGCAGGTGCTTGTTGTGGAGGGAGGTCTATGTTAAGTGTCACTGTGCCCTTCACCATGATCAGTCTAGGTGAGTGTAGGTGCTTGTTGTGAAGGAAGGTCTGTGTTGAGTGTCACTGTTCCCTTCACCATGATCAGTCTAGGTGAGTGCAGGTGCTTGTTGTGGAGGGAGGTCTGTGTTGAGTGTCACTGTGCCCTTCACCATGATCAGTCTAGGTGAGTGCAGGTGCTTGTTGTGGAGGGAGGTCTATGTTAAGTGTCACTGTGCCCTTCACCATGATCAGTCTAGGTGAGTGCAGGTGCTTGTTGTGGAGGGAGGTCTGTGTATAGTGTCACTGTGCCCTTCACCATGATCAGTCTAGGTGAGTGCAGGTGCTTGTTGTGGAGGGAGGTCTGTGTTGAGTGTCACTGTGCCCTTCACCATGATCAGTCTAGGTGAGTGCAGGTGCTTGTTGTGGAGGGAGGTCTATGTTAAGTGTCACTGTGCCCTTCACCATGATCAGTCTAGGTGAGTGCAGGTGCTTGTTGTGGAGGGAGGTCTATGTTAAGTGTCACTGTGCCCTTCACCATGATCAGTCTAGGTGAGTGTAGGTGCTTGTTGTGGAGGGAGGTCTATGTTAAGTGTCACTGTGCCCTTCACCATGATCAGTCTAGGTGAGTGCAGGTGCTTGTTGTGGAGGGAGAGGTGTGTTAAGTGTCACTGTGCCCTTCACCATGGTCAGTCTAGGTGAGTGCAGGTGCTTGTTGTGGAGGGAGGTCTATGTTAAGTGTCACTGTGCCCTTCACCATGGTCAGTCTAGGTGAGTGTAGGTGCTTGTTGTGGAGGGAGGTCTATGTTAAGTGTCACTGTGCCCTTCACCATGGTCAGTCTAGGTGAGTGTAGGTGCTTGTTGTGGAGGGAGGTCTGTGTTCAGTGTCACTGTGCCCTTCACCATGATCAGTCCAGGTGAGTGCAGGTGCTTGTTGTGGAGGGAGGTCTGTGTTGAGTGTCACTGTGCCCTTCACCATGGTCAGTCTAGGTGAGTGCAGGTGCTTGTTGTGGAGGGAGGTCTATGTTAAGTGTCACTGTGCCCTTCACCATGGTCAGTCTAGGTGAGTGTAGGTGCTTGTTGTGGAGGGAGGTCTCTGTTAAGTGTCACTGTGCCCTTCACCATGGTCAGTCTAGGTGAGTGTAGGTGCTTGTTGTGGAGGGAGGTCTGTGTTCAGTGTCACTGTGCCCTTCACCATGATCAGTCCAGGTGAGTGCAGGTGCTTGTTGTGGAGGGAGGTCTGTGTTGAGTGTCACTGTGCTCTTCACCATGATCAGTCTAGGTGAGTGCAGGTGCTTGTTGTGGAGGGAGGTCTGTGTTAAGTGTCACTGTGCCCTTCACCATGATCATTCCAGGTGAGTGCAGGTGCTTGTTGTGGAGGGAGGTCTGTGTTGAGTGTCACTGTGCCCTTCACCATGATCAGTCTAGGTGAGTGCAGGTGCTTGTTGTGGAGGGAGGTCTGTGTTGAGTGTCACTGTGCCCTTCACCATGATCAGTCTAGGTGAGTGCAGGTGCTTGTTGTGGAGGGAGGTCTATGTTAAGTGTCACTGTGCTCTTCACCATGATCAGTCTAGGTGAGTGCAGGTGCTTGTTGTGGAGGGAGGTCTATGTTAAGTGTCACTGTGCCCTTCACCATGATCAGTCTAGGTGAGTGCAGGTGCTTGTTGTGGAGGGAGGTCTATGTTAAGTGTCACTGTGCTCTTCACCATGATAAGTCTAGGTGAGTGCAGGTGCTTGTTGTGGAGGGAGGTCTGTGTTGAGTGTCACTGTGCCCTTCACCATGATCAGTCTAGGTGAGTGCAGGTGCTTGTTGTGGAGGGAGGTCTATGTTAAGTGTCACTGTGCCCTTCACCATGATCAGTCTCGGTGAGTGCAGGTGCTTGTTGTGGAGGGAGGTCTGTGTTGAGTGTCACTGTGCCCTTCACCATGATCAGTCTAGGTGAGTGCAGGTGCTTGTTGTGGAGGGAGGTCTATGTTAAGTGTCACTGTGCTCTTCACCATGATCAGTCTAGGTGAGTGTAGGTGCTTGTTGTGGAGGGAGGTCTGTGTTAAGTGTCACTGTGCCCTTCACCATGATCAGTCCAGGTGAGTGTAGGTGCTTGTTGTGGAGGGAGGTCTATGTTAAGTGTCACTGTGCCCTTCACCATGATCAGTCTAGGTGAGTGCAGGTGCTTGTTGTGGAGGGAGGTCTATGTTAAGTGTCACTGTGCCCTTCACCATGATCAGTCTAGGTGAGTGCAGGTTGTGCAGTGTTATGATGCGAATCAGTCTAGGTGTGTGCAGGTGCTTGATAGCTGGTGTGCCTTGCCTGTCATCAAAAGTGTCATTGAGTTTCTGTACTTTACCAGGTGTGGATGAATATGCATCAGTCGGTATCAATGAGGACCGCATCATCATGGGCATCCCGTGGCACGGCTACAAGTACAGCTGTAAGGACTTCAAGTTTGTAAGTGGATGAGCAACTATTGCAATACTTACCTCTGTATGTCCAGTTGTCTGACTGGCTAGATGATTACATGACTAGAAGAGCAACTGTTGCAATACTTACCTCTGTATGTGCAGCTGTCGCTGTCTGACTGGCTAGATGATTACATGGCTAGAAGAGCAACTGTTGCAATACTTACCTCTGTATGTGCAGCTGTCTGACTGGCTAGATGATTACATGACTAGAAGAGCAACTGTTGCAATACTTACCTCTGTATGTCCAGCTGTCTGACTGGCTAGATGATTACATGGCTAGAAGAGCAACTGTTGCAATACTTACCTCTGTATGTGCAGCTGTCTGACTGGCTAGATGATTACATGACTAGAAGAGCAACTGTTGCAATACTTACCTTTGTATGTCCAGCTGTCTGACTGGCTAGATGATTACATGACTAGAAGGTAACATGACTTATTGATGACAAGGCTAAATGACATGACCCGATGGTGACATGGCTTGTTGCTGGCATGACTAAATCACATGATCAGATGATGACATGACTTGTTGCTGGAATGACTAAATGACATGATTGAATGATGACATGACAATTTGCTGACATGACTAAATCAGATGACCAGATGATGACATGACTAAATGACATGACCAGATGATGACATGACTTGCTGCTTACATGACTAAATGGCATGACCAGATGATGACATGACTTGTTGCTGACATGACTAAATCAGATGACCAGATGATGACATGACTTGTTGCTGGCATTACTAAATGCAATGACCAGATGATGATATGACTTTTTGCTGTCATGACTAAATGACATGGCCAGATGATGACATGACTTGTTGCTGGCATGACTAAATGACATGATCTGATTATGACATGATGTGTTGCTGGCATGCCTAAATGACATGATCAGATGATGACATGACTTGTTGCTGGCATGACAAAATGACATGAGCAGATGATGACATAACTTGTAGCTGGCATGACTAAATCAGATGAACAGATGATGACATTACTAAATGACATGACCAGATGATGACATGACGTGTTGCTGACATGACTAAATCACATGACCAGATGATGACATGACTTGTAGCTGTCATGACTAAATCACATGACAAGATGATGACATTACTTGTTGCTGGCATGACAAAATGACATGATTTTTTGCTGGCATGACAAAATGATGACATGAATAGTGATGACTTATATAATAATGGCCTGACTAGGTGATTGTAAAACTTCGACTGTGTTTCGTGTTAGCCCAAACTAAGCGATAGATTTTTTTGCTAGGATATGGAACTAAGTACCTGCACTCTGAAGGAAGTTACCGGTGAGGGACAAACCACGCCACACTGTGATGTTGCTGGGTCCAGGGAAATGATATCTGTCGGAGAACTACTTGACAATCATCAAGATGAGCTCACCAAGAAGTACTGGAGCAAAGCCTACAAGGCTCCCATGTTTGACCATTGTGTAAGTTGCATGATTATGTAGGCTGTTCCTGTGTTGATACTTGCTAGATGGGGTGGTATGGTTGTGTTGATAGTTGCTAGATTGGGTTGTGTGGTTGTGTTGATAGTTGCTAGATTGGGTTGTATGGTTGTGTTGATATTTGCTAGATGGGGTTGTATGGTTGTGTTGATAGTTGCTATATGGGGTTGTATGGTTGTGTTGATATTTGCTAGATGGGGTTGTATGGTTGTGTTGATAGTTGCTAGATGGGGTTGTATGCTTGTGTTGATATTTGCTAGATGGGGTTGTATGGTTGTGTTGATAGTTCCTAGATGGGGTTGTATGGTAGTGTTGATAGTTGCTAGATGGGTAACTTGTTTGAGTGGCATTTTTAGAAGTTGAGACGTACAATATGGAACATGTCTTTATGGATAACAACTTCTTTAATTTTTCCTTATCCTGACTCATGCTCTTTTGCTTGTCTTCTTCTTTTTGCGAACATACTGGAACACTTGTATCTCCCTATTGAAGCTCCCTTCAATTGAAACATGTGTAAAATCACTAATGACTACTCACCAAGAATTGCCCCTCTTTGTTCCCCTGGCGGGAAAGACGGCGCCACCGTATCCCACATGCTTCACTCTCTCCTTCTTCGCCCAGTGAGCAGGATGTGAGAGTGCCTGTGTCTCCCTACGGCACTATATCCTTTGATATTTCTTACTTAGTTACCTCTACAAGTCCCTTATAGAGGTTTAGCTAGTATCCTTCAACAATATGGTTGGATATTTATTTGTATTTACTGCTGTTTATTCGCAGTGTATGCAGTGATTGTTCAGTAGGTTCCGTTCATGAAAATCTGTACTGTTTGCAAGTTACGTTTTTCTGCTGCTGATCTGCATTTAATATGCCCTAGCTGTACTGTACCGTGTTCCTTCAGTTCACGTTGCAGTTATTGTAATAATTTATCTAATTCTGCTTTTAACAAATATTTACTTTGCGTCTTGAGACGCGCAGCAGATAGGTCACGCAAACTAGATCCAGGCATGGATAATGCTACTGAGTCCCTCTCAAGTCAACTGCTGTCGGACGACCCCTTCCGTCTGGTGTTCCGCTAGAGTTTCCTTCAGAAGAGAGGCGTGGGACGCAGTCCGTTGTCTCCAAGAAGCGTCCTGCATCACCAGACATCCCGTCGTCGCAGCCTAATACTAAGAGGGCATCTACTTCTCAGCGCAGACTCCGCACCCCCAGGGCAGCGTCTACTAAGAAACCAACGCAGACTGCAAGAACTTTCTCGGCCGAGTTTGTTCCCACTACAGAACTGGGCCTGTATGAAGAGCAGCCGATCATCATACATGATGTGCATCACAAGAAACGACCGGTTTCAGCTACAGTGAAGTCTGCGCAGATCCGCAATCAGCCCGATGTATCAACGCTGATGACTGACGATCTTCCCATGGGCCCCATCGCTACCACCGCAGATAGGGCAGCACCTACAGCTTCGCAGACCGTCCCGGACGACCTGGTGCAACAACTTATGAAGTTAATGGAAGACCGCTACGGCCTGGAGAAGAGACAACCAGCCCGGGACCTGAGCCTTTAGACGTCAGCTCTGAGGGACCTCCTATCAACGTAGCGGCTGCTACCAAGTCACCACTGAAGGACCAGCCTTCGCGAAGGACGTCACAGCCCACCTCTGCGAAGGACCCAGACGATCAACGTTCGCGAAGGACCTCTAGATCGTCACATACCTCGGACTCCGATGACCAACGTTCGCAAAGGCGTTCGCGAAGGAGGATCCTATCACCCTGGACTCAGATGAAGCTTCGTGAAGGACAAGACATCACTCCCCAGATGCGGACTCGGATGAAGCTCCGCGGAGGCCTTAGGGAAGGACACCAGTTACAGTTTCCAAGTCATCTTCGTCCTGGAGGTCATCAAGGGATTCCCCAGGAGCTTCGCGAAGCTATCGTCGCTCACCTTCGCGAAGGTCACCTCATAGGCGCGTTACTCGTCGGGCCGGTCTCCACGTCGATCTCCACGCCGTTCTCCACGTCGATCTCCTCGCCATTCTCCTCATCGATCTCTTCGCCGTTCTCGTCGCGTCGATCTCCTCGTAGGTCTCCACACAGATCACCACGTAGGACACCACACAGATCACCACGACGCTCGAAGTCTCCATGCAGGTCGCCACAAAGGTCTCTGGACAGGACTCCACGTCAGTCACCATCTGAAGAGTATCATCGGCCTCTAATCAGCGATCCTGTTACTGAAGATGATGGAGGCATCATATTCTCCGACGCGGAAATACGGTACTGGATGGTCAACAACCTGGACTTTGCTTCGCCCTCTAAGGATGATAATTCAGCCAACACCTATATTATGAAGGAGGACGACGTAGACACAATCACCCTACCGCAAATTGATCATATAGCATCGGTTCGGCAGAACCTGGATACAGCATTCCAGACAGCCACTAAAGCTCAGGCGCCGCACTTGCCCAGTTCAACGCCAAGAAGTTCTCTATGCATGATATGGGACCCTTCCATAAAGCACAAGAAATCGACTATAACTTTAAAGTCATCAACGATGCCAAGACCAAGGTGTACAGAATAGAGGACCGCAAGCTGGCTCAAGTCGAGACTATGACCAGAAGGATGTTTTTCGGCCTCAACAGATCCAGGACTGTTAACGAAACTCTCACCACTAGATTTCGAGATTCCACATCAGATGACGACAGAATGGTATACTCGGCCCTCCTTATGCAAAAGAAGGACCAACAGTTCATGACGGATCACCTTTCATCCATCTCCGCAGCTATTACTCTGGCTCGTCGTCAAGGTTTCCTCGCCAACTGCAGTTGGGGTGAACAGTTCATTACACCGCTCTGCTCAGCCCCATGGTCAACACCATCCATCTTCGCTGGAGGAATTGATAAAGTCTCTAAGGAAGTCACCAAGGATTCTAGAGAAGTCCTCATGATAAAATCTATTGACACTCTGGCCAGCGTCATCAGACAGACATCACAGAGATATTCCAGAAGATCCAAATTTCCTGGTCTACAGAGAGCACGGGACAGGAAGATGGTCAGCATCAGAGGTGGAAAGGACGCTTTTCGTCGTCCATCTGGCAACTACAGAGGAGGATCTGGAAGAGGCAGGACACCCAGAGGCTCCCGCAACTATCGTCGATGAAAGACGGGTTCGGAACGACTGGAGTCTTCCACCCCCAGCCGTTCCTGTACAACCTTCACAAGTGGGTGGACGCCTTCAACTGCACTGGGAGAACTGGGGAATACTACAAGATCCATATGTCTCCAACATCCTACAACACGGATATCGCATCCAACTACAGGCCACGCCTCCGCTTACAGTCAACCCTCACAAGTTCGACTTCCAGGCACAACAACTACTGAAGTTACAAGAAGCTGTTTCATCTCTCCTAACCAAGCAGGCCATAGAACTCGTGGATCAAGTAAACATCGAACCAGGTTTCTACTCCCCAGTTTTCCTAGTGCCCAAGAAAAATTCCAAAGAAAAGTTCTGACTCATCTACAACATGAGCACGTTCAACAGGGATTATCTACGCAAACCGCCAACATTTCGCATGATACAACCACCTCAACTAATGCACCTCTTTCATCCGATGGACTACATGGCCAGTATAGATCTACAGGATGCCTACCTGCATATCTTGATACATCCTGACTCAAGGAAGTACCTACGGTTTACACTAGACGGGCTACACTACCAATGGAAGGTCCTACCGTTTGGAATATCATCGGCCCCCTGGTTGTTTACAAGAATAACGAAACCCATCGTCACTTACCTACATCGTCAAGGGCTACGCAGTGCGTTCTACCTCGACGACGGGATTCAAGTAGATCAAGATCCAAAGCGTCTCAAACTACAGTTGAATTTCACCATCAATCTACTCACTCAGCTAAGATGGTTAGTGAATCTACTCAAGTCGGACCTAGAACCTACACAGGACCTGCAATTTCTAGGCATCAGATTCCTCACGACACAGAACCGGATCGTTGTACCAGAGGACCGATGGCTCAATATTCAACAAACGATCCCTCAAGCCTTACTCTCTCCGTTGACACTACGACAGTGGCAGAGTCTGTTGGGTCTCCTAACGTCAGCACAAGACATGACAGTCAGAGGCAGATTACAGTTACGTCCGTTACAGGTCTTCATCAACGCTCATCTCGACGACCTTCAACCCTTCAGTCTACCGAATCAACTCAGACCTCATCTACTTTGGTGGATCCAGAGGTCGAATGTTTGCGAAGGCATCTATTTAACAGAGCAGGAGTTCAAGACCCATCTCTATGTCGACGCGTCGCTCCAAGGTTGGGGAGCTCATCTCGCCAACCGGACGGCAGCAGGGGTATGGAACCAAGAAGAGAGCAATCTGCACATCAACATGCTCAAAATGAAAGCAGTAATCAATGCCTTACGTCATTGGAGCACCATTCTACAGAATGCGCATCTCATGATCCACACCGACAACTCAACAGTGGCGTTTTATATAAACAAGCAAGGCTCAACAAGATCATTGAACCTACTCACTCTATGCTTTCAACTGTTCGACATGATCGACGATCTCAACATACATGTGAGAGCATGTCACATTCCCGGAGCCAAGAATGTACTAGCAGACACACTCTCTCGGCCAAATCTACTGTCACCAACAGAATGGAAACTCCACCCAGAAATCTTCGCTCAGATTATCATGGAAATAGGAACTCCATTAATAGACCTATTCGCCACTCGCTTCAACAATCAGCTAACAACATTCGTCTCACCAGTCCCAGACCCACAAGCGTGGGCAACGGATGCTCTAAGCATATCCTGGGAAGGCCTCAACGCGTATGCGTTTCCGCCCGCCATCGCTAATACCAAGGGTATTACAGAAAATCAGATAAACTCAGAACCTCCAAGTGATTTTGGTCGCGCCTTACTGGCCAGCGAGAACATGGTTTCCCATTCTAATACAAGAATTCGGACAACCAAGGC